CCGCCTGGTTCACATCCTCCTGAAGTCTCGAAGGAAGCTGAAGTAGGTCAAGACCAGGACCTGGAATTGGAGGTCGCCAATTTTTAAATGAAAATGAAATTACTTATTAGCAACCACATTCTGTACTCTTAGGACAACCGCTCGCCTTTGAACCTTGTTGTTTGTTATTAAGTGCCATCGAGTCGGTTCCAACTCATAGCGACCCTGTTAGGGTTTCCAAGGAGTAGCTGGAGGTTTGAACCTCCAACCTTGTAGTCCGGTGCTTATCCTACAGCGCCACACCAGGACTCCCGAGCCCATTATTACCGGCGATCTACAGAAGCCAGACATTGCTCCTCTTCGCCGAGCACTGCTTTGGTTTTAAGGAAAGTACTTTGCCCTGATTATTCACACTGACCAGTTTGGTCGGGATCCTCTTTTCCCACCGCCCAGCGACTGGGTTTGTTCCAGGAGCCCTGCAGCTTTGAGCGGTGAGAATGGGACCTGGAGCCTGACGCTGTACAGATAGTAACGTAGAAGCTGAGAGTAACTGAGAAGTCCGAGTAGTTGTGGAAAGAATTCCAGTGGCTTTATATCCAGTGATTTGTAATCTCTGAAAGTAGTATCTTATTCGGCCAAGAAACTCTCAGACGTAAAATTACTTACAGTTTAGGGGGTAAAAGCAAAGGTCCACAGATAACTTTTTTGGTTCAAATCCAGCCTCTAGCACACACTAGCTGAGTAGCCTTAGGCAATGAGCTCAGAGCCCATATCTGCCAAATATGGATACTAATGTATCCATCTCACCTTGGGTGGTTGAGGATTAAGCGACTAAGTACTTGTTACCTAGCCAATGGTTGGTTAACTGGTGGCGGCGGTTCAAGCGTGCAGTCATTTCTCGGAAACCCTGTGCCAGGTTCGCTATGAGTTGGAACCGACTCGGCAACACTTAACAACAAGAAATTTATCTAGAGCTACTCCCTTTCTCTATATTCCAAAAGTGTGCATAAATAACATTGCCAACAAGCGGTAGGAATCCTGAGATGGCACTGTAGAATAAGCATTGCATTGCTAAACACAAGGTCGGTGGTTCAAATCCACCAGGGGCTTCTCAGAAACCCTATACAGGGTCACTATGAGTTGGGACTGACTTGATGGCACTTAACAACGTTAAGAATTTTGGGACCTTTGCTTTGAATTACTAATCTTCCCCATCCCCCACCCCCTTCTTCTTTGCATTTCTGAGTAACTGTGGATTCCCAAAATTGGCCCAACTTAAAAAATGTTTCACAATGATACATTTCTCCAACCTACCTGCAACCAGCTTATCATTCTTCTCCATGAAAGGGTGGAGCTGAAAAACCCTCACAGTAGACCCTGACCCTCCAAGTTTACTTCTTTTGTGAGACAGAACTATAATAAATCTAAACTGTCAAAACCGTTTGGTCTGTCTTTTTTCAGTTACAAGTTCCCTTCTTCCCCCATCTTTTTCTTTTTTTAGTGTGATGTGTATACATGTTGCTTTTGAAAATATTTTACTCTCACAATTACCGGGTCTTGGTACTCTTCAGTCCAGAGACTATGGACTATCTAACAATCAGAACAGACAGCCTCCTAGGGCAGATGAATAATCAGGGTGAGTTGCAGAGTTTGGGTTTTCAAACAGCACTACACAGTTTAACCTGCTAAAATTTGGAAATATTAAGTGAAATGCGGGTTATCTAATAAGGTCCTGCCTCAGTAACCACCTCAATTTTCCTTCCTGCCAAGGCTTGAGTATTTGTCCAGTCAAATCAAAGAGCAAACCTTGACTGCATTATTGGAGACTCCCTTATTAAAAACAGTGACTGATTTGTGAAAACATGCTAATTAGTATGAAAGACATATTTACAACTACAATAAAAAAGAGTAGCTGTAGCTGCCGAGACTGCTTATGTACACTCAAACCCCTCATGGATTTGGTTCCTTAGTTAGGAGGTTTAAGGTACTGGTTTTAAGAAAAATCCCAGTTAATTGGTCTAGAAATTGCTTCTGTTCTATCTTTTAGTTCCTTGCATAATGCCTGGGGTCTTAAAAGTTGCAGATGACCGTCCAAATCACAACTGATCTCTAATTACCTGGAGTAACAGAGGAAGAGAGTCAGGAAGGCTGTGCCTTGGAATCAGTTCTGATTCATAGTGACTCTGTATAGGATTTCCAAGGAATGGGTGGTGGGTTTGAACCATTGACTTTGTGGTTATTGGTCCAATGCTTATTCTACAGTGCCACACCAGACTCCAGAGTCAGGAATAAGAGAAGGGAATGTAATGTGTGGCTAACTGCCTCCATGAACAACTGCCTCCTTTGCCATGAAATCAGAACTGAATGGTGCCCAACTACCATTACTGAACATTATGATCAGAGATTCCATTTAGAAAAATCCATAAGGGGGGAAATACAGAACAGGATTTCAAATTCTCACAGACTCTAGACTTTCTAGAGTCTTGGAGGGTAGATGAACCCCTGAAACTATTTTTCTGAGATAATGTTTAAATCTTAAAACCAAAAATATGCCCTGAAGTCTTCTTGAAACTGAAATCGTTTAGCTTAGCTACTAAAAAGGAATTTTTAGAGGGCGCTCTGGTGGTATAGTAGTTAAGTGCTCAGTTGCTAACTGAAAGGTCATCTATTTGAATCCATGGGTCACTCTGCAGGAGAAAGATGTGATAGTTTGCTTCCATAGATTTACAACGCAGGAAACCCTTTGGGACAGTTCTCCTCTGTCCTACAGGGTTAGTGTGAGTTGGAATTCAGTTGACGGCAATGGATTTCTGAGTAGCTGAACTATAAGTACTCTTTTATGACCCTTATGTTCTTCTAAGAACTATCTATATGGGAACAAATTGACAATAGCAACTCAAAAGATAGGAACCTTAGGGGCCAGTAAGTTTGTGTGAATAAGGGAGGAACTACACGGAAAAGGAGTTGTTGTACAACTAAATTGTACATGTGAAAACTGTTTAATTGATTTATGTATTGATGTGAATATTCTCAACAACAAAATCAATGATATTTGAAGGAAAAAAATACATGATGGCCAGGAAGAAAAACAACCTGCTGTTTTCAAGAAAAGAAAGAGGAAGAAGAGTGACAGAAGAAAGAGAGACCACATGAAGATGAAACCTTTTAAGATGAGTAAGCAGGAAATTGTTAGTTACAGAAACCAATTAAAGGCCACAGCAGAATTATATGGAACTGATCATTATACCACACTGCAAATGCCTTTAACTTCATTATGTTCTAGTGGTAACTGAAAAATATTTGAAAGTGTAAGATTCTTTAAAAACTAAAGATGACACCATTGATCTCAAAACAATGGAAATAAACAAGGCTCATGATGAAGAGAAATGAGCTAGCAGAGAAAGAAAGAAAATAAATAACAGCATAATACCTTTGTTCGTAAGGAACACTAAATCCATTTGTTGACCAATATAGTGAGGAGTGGTTCTAAGCTAATTCTCACTTTAACAAACTATTGTAACTTGACCTATTTAAGAATTAATTTTTACAACAAGTATCTAAACACTGATTATCTAAATGCTGGAAGTACATAGAGGGTCCGGGTTATGTAACGAGTTTCACCTCTCAGTAATTATCTAGAGAACATTGATTTATAAAGTTATGATTTTACTGAGTATAAAAAGTGGTGTGGCACAAGGGGGAGGTGAATTACCATCAGCATCAGTGCAAAGCTGATTCCTATGAGCTGGAGGTCAGACATATCTTCTCTCTCCAACCTGTTAACCAATTCTGACACCAGCTCTCCATTACATGACACGCTCTGCTCCTCTGCTGGCTTCAATCATTTGTTGCAGAACCACAGAACTCAGAACATCAGAACATACTCATAATTATGAAGTTTATTAAGGAAGTTGTTGTTTCCTATTAAGTGCCGTGGTAAAGTCAGTTTAGCCTCATAGTGACCCTATATAGGGTTTCTGAGGTTTTAAGTCTTTTGTGGGAACAGAAAACCTCATCTTTCTCCTGCGGAGTGACTGGTGGGCTTGAACTCCTGATCTGGTGGTTCAAAGTCCAGTACTTATCCTATGGAGCCACCTCACTCCCACTAAGGAAGTTTGTTGTTGTTGTTAAGTGCCTCAAGTTGGTTCCAACTCATAGCTACCCTGTATAGGGTTTCAAAGGAATGGCTGGTGAGTTTGAACCACAGACACTGTGGTTCAAACTGACTTTGAAGTCCAGTGCTTTATTGCACAGCGTTACAAATTCAGCATCAGAAGTTACTTGGGACACAGTTCTTTGATCAGGAGAACTTTTCAGCCATACCTGCAGGCAGGTCTCTCTCTGGCCCTAGGCCTCTTGGGCTAGCTGACCTCAATCCTGATGGGGGCAAGTGTTATAAAGCTCTTTATCTCCATAAAGTGTCTGGAGGCACTTCATTCTGCCAATAATCCTCAGCCTAAAGGCACACAACTCTTCGGCTCTGTGGGTCAGCAAGTCTAGCTCCACCAAGTGCTCAGGCCTTTCATTCCACCAGCAAGCTTCTTGCCTGAATGTGCTCAGTTCTCTTGCTCCATGGACTGGGAATCCCACTCTGCAGCCTCCTGCTTGTATCCTGCTTCTGCTGCTTGTTGTCTTTGGTGATATAGCTTTCTGTCTCCTGGATCTAAGAGGTTCCCAGAGCAGGCAATGCGGGTCCACAGGATGTGCTCTCTTTCCATCTCTTCTTCCTGATGGTAGTCAGGTCCT